TTCCTAGGCCCTCAAAAAGGTTGGCCAAAAAAAGGGTACCGATTGATAGAAATCGGCCCATGGCAAGATGAATAGCAAAGTCAGCATGGGTGTAAAAGATAAATTTTGAAGAAGGGCAGATGACGTACCCGTAACACCCAAAAGATGGAAAAAAATTTCTTATTAATTCGGGTAGACATGTAGTTAATTTGGAGACAAGAGAGAGAAGTACATACCTGCAGAGCTAGAATAGAAGGAAGGTGACATGCTTTTCGTCGGTTACTGGAGTATTTTTGCACTGTAGTACATTTCAATGAATAGTCCCCAAGTCACTACCTTGTTGTTCAAGGACGCCTTCACATTCCAACCAGGGTGGTCGGTTTGAGGCTCTGAACCATCCAAGGTCCTGACCACAGGCTCTTCTCCCACAATCAAGAGATGAGTAATCATTGCAACATCTAGCAGGGGTCACGCCAATAGGGCCAGATGGTAGCAGAAAGGAACTGACCTTTGGGTCCTAGAAGGCAGCCATTCCCAGGATGATGGTGTCATGGATGTTGAAGGCATGGAAGGATAGTCGAATAGCTTTGTCCAGGCCTTGTTGTTTCAATTCCTTACTAGAGCTCTTTTCCACCGTCTTGAACCAGCTGCAGAATTCATCCTTGGGGTCCAAAAGATTGGTTTGGATTTCATACCATATGCGTGTAGCGTTAAAAGTTCATCGTGGATGGCTAAGTGGAGGTCGTGTTGAAGGAAGTTCAGCGTGTAACGCGACCATGCTAAGGAAATTAGTTTGGGCATAATTATACACGTTCGGGCTGTATCAGCATGGGAGCTCTACTCTTGACAGTGGCGATGAAGAGATGGACCACCGGAGTTGTGGCCAGAGATGGGTTCAGGGCTGGCTATGGTGTGAATCCATCGAAAGAGATGGTTGATGTCATTTCCATTGGCAAGGTTGGTGGAAAAACTTGATAGAAGTAGAAGGTTTTCTAAGAGAGTTTTGCACAAGAAGAGGGATATTTTGAAATGAAGGAATTGCAGCGACACGAAGAAGAAGAAGAAGAATAAGAAAGTAAGAATGATGAAAGAAAGTGTTTATAAACCTACTACCATGCCACTTGACCATCGTGATGATGTGTCTGTTGCTCTCGGGCATAGAAAGGTTGTCATGTCAACAGTCACGTCTCGCAGTACTCAGAGACGTGACCCTTGACATTCTTCTGGGAAGGGAAAAATTGTTGAGCCACGAAAAAGCTTTGCGTTTCAAAATTAGGGTTTGGCCCATGGTGTATGAGTCGGCGCCCAAATTTCTGGTGAGTCGATGTCTGAATGCCAAGAAGGTTGATGACCCAATGGGTATTGGGTCGGGTCAGGTGGGCCAGTGGCCTAGTGAAATTTTGGGTAGGGTGCATAGCAGGTCAAATATTGCAACAATTCGGCTACTATGTTCCCGAAAGCTAATTTGGCATGTCAGACGGTTTCCACTACCTGACGAGAATGGTTGAGTTCTTCGGAGAGTAACCACCAAACAGTTACTCTATGTTCAAGTGGCCGAATCAAAACCGCCCAAATGGTTACTGAAAAAGAAATAAATATTCTGAATATGGGGATGATCAGGGCATCAGAAAAAGTCTCCTTAGGGATTTGAAATCTCAAGCACGATTTATCAAGTTCGAATTCTACTTTTGGATTTTACTTTGTTTTTGTTGAATTCCACACATCAACTATTGTGATGAGCACAACCCTAATATTTGAGTAGATTGGCTTTGTACAATTTGAAGTTACCAATATATATTTATATATATATATATAATTATAGTAAAAAAAACCCTCATTCTATCCAAAATATATAAAAAAAAAAAAGAAAAAGAATTCAAATTATCCAAATTTAATATTAAAAAATAAAATAATTCTAAAAAATTGTGATCGTGGGAATTAAAATCCCTTGTCATATATATATATATATTAGCATATAACATCTGCTATGCACGGATGATTATATAATGTGATATTTAACTGAATTTTGTATTTTAAATTATAAGTTTCTTTTGACAATAAAGTTTAGCATTAAAATAGCCAAAATTAATTCATAAAAAAAAACTATATGCATAACTAAAATTAAAATAAAAAATAAGCTATATTAAAAATAAATACTAACAATCCATATTAAATTAAAAATCAAAATAAATTTAGAAAATAATTATACCTATATTTGAGAGAAAACTATTGATATTCATGTCACGATTTTTATCAAGTTGTTGACATGTAATTTAAAAAATGAAATAATATACCAAATAAAAAAATAAAAAATTTGGTAACTAAATCAAATAAATAATATTAATTAAGCGAATCAAAGTTTCATCATATATAATATTTCAATTTAAACTTAAATATAATAAAGATAAAAAATAATTATTCATAATCACTTAAATTAAAAATCAAAGTAAATTTGAAGGTAGTTTGTACCTATCAATGAGAAATAAGAAAAAAATTATTAATATTTGTGTGTCGTTTATATAATGTTGTTAGCATGCAGTTGAAAACTATTTTCAAACAATATACTAAATAATATAAAAATAGTAACAAAAATAAAAACAAACAAACAATATTAAATAAATGAATAATAAATCAAACAAAACTTATATACCAATTTAAATTCAAGTTTAAGTAAGAATAAAAATATTTATTTGCAATGTTGTTAAATGAAACATTACAACAAATAGTATCTATTGATGAAAAAAAATATTGATTTTCTTATTCCATTTTCTCTTTTATGGTCATGTTGAAAAAAAAGTTAAACAATATATCAACAAAAAAATATATTAGCAAAAGTAAAAGCAAATACGGCTGAATAAGTAAAAAAATCATAAATTACAAAATTCATATTTCAGCTTAAATTCAAATATAACTTAGATTAAAAATATTTATTAACAATTCATATTAGACTAAAAATTTGAATATAGTTTAAAATTCTGAAAAAAGAAAAATTTATTAGAATAATGATACTCAAAACCAAATCAATTAGAAAAAATACATATATAATAAAAATAAATAAGAATTTATTAGTAGAAAATAAAAATAACAAAAGACATAAAAAAATGCATACAGAATAAGAATAAAAGCACTAAAATAAAACTAGAAATTTTATACATTAATAAAATTTGTTATATTTTTCGGTATAGATTCCTCTAATATTCTTTAAGACAAAGACACGAAATTAAAATATAATCTACAAAATTAGAAAAAACTATTTTAATATAATATAAAAAACCAAATCAATTAAAGAACATACATATTAAATAAGAATAAAAAATCTGACTAGTATAAAATAAAAATAACACAATATATATTTAAAAAATAAATACATTATAAGAATGAAATTAATAACATAAAAATAATTTTTTTATATATTAAAACTTATCATAATTTTTTCTATGGATTCCTTAAATATTTTTTCAAATCAAAAGATTCAAAATTTGGATATAATCTACAAAATTTAAATATATACTATAAATACTCGAAATCAAATTAATTAGAAAGCACACATGCTCGATAAAAATGAAAAATAATGGATTAATAGTAGAAAATAAGAATAACACAATCAAGGGCAACATCCAATAAAAAATCTCGCCGTTGGATTGAAACTGCAACAAATTGCAAACACTTCCTGAAAATTTCAGTTTGATCTAACGGTTAATGAATCAGAGATCGTCGTCTTTCCAAACTTGCACCCATAAATCTCATTATAATTATTGTGGCGATTTTCGTTTAATCTAAGTATATATATAGATATTTATATATAGCTATATATATATATTTATATTTGAGAACAATGTGACCATATATATATCGATAGACTTCTTATTCTCTCCTTTTTTTTTTTTTTTTTTTTTTTTTTTTTTTTAATCTTCAATTATCACATAATAGTTTAAATTGTGTTTTTCGAATAAGGACAAAGAATATGAAGACCGGAGCCGGAGAAATATAACGGCAAACTTTTAGAAGAAATAGGAAGAAGAACAGGTGATTACGTGTTATTTTATATATATTTTCGTATTATTTATTTCCCATGTATTTTCTATATTAGTTTATATTTGATAATAAAATTTAAATTTAAATTCATTTTATTTGATTATAGTATTATTTATATTTGAAGATTTAAATTTTTTCTTCACAACTTTTTACCCAAAAATACATCCATTTGTAATATTTTTTTACTATTATTCTCTTAAAAAATTACATTTTTATATTTATTATGGTTAACGGTTTGAATTCATCTCTATTATGTGAAATAAATAAGGAGACGAGCGATTTACAGAAAAAAAAATCACAATCCGGTAGAAAAATATAAAATAATTTAATTATTTTTTATATATTATTTTGATTAATGAATTTTATATTTAATCTCTTTATGTTAAATAGTAAATTTGGATAATTATTATTAACAATTTTCAATTGTATGTTTGATACAATTATTTTATATTATTTTATTTGTAATAATTTTACTCTATATATGTTGTACTAATTACTTTATTTTATGGAAAAATTGGGTTTAAATCCCTATTTACCCTAAAATCATTTAGATTGGTTCCTATTTCATAAAACTTGGACTGCAATCTTTACTTTATTATGATGTCTTTGTAATTTCATGAATAACCCGTTTTATTGGCGCCAACGCCAAATTAGAGAAGAAGAAACTCCGACAGAAAAATGGAAGCCCACCCACGATTTTCCGATCTTCAACTCTCATCCATTCTTGGGTAACCAGTTGCCGCCAATCTCGTACACCCATCTCTCCCCTTGCAAAATCGCCGTGGCCCTCCCACATCCGGAAGAAATTGACGGGCCTTAGAGTTTCCGGCAAAGCTAAGGTGCGTTCATTCCTTCAATTGTGTCTCGATCGTTGACATGCCATTCTCTAGTCTCCATCCAACAAAAAACTATGTCGTCTTCTTCATTTGGCACCGATGACAGAAAATTCTTGTCCCTTTTATCCTTTCCATTATTGTTTTTCGACCATGGTTCGCCGGATCGGCCGAGTCCGGTCCGACTCGGCCGATCCGAAACCGGAACGGTCAGGACCGTTCTGGTTCGTCAAAAATATCCGATATTTGCCCAAAATTTTCCCATCCATTCATATCTTATCTATAAAACCCATTATAAATCTTATTCTTACCGATTTTCTACTTTTTATTCATATTATTCGAACAATTCATCTCAATTCGATCAGATCGGAGAAGAAAACATTTACCAGTGCGCTGAAGAAGAATCGTGGAGGAAAGACCTCTGTTCTGCGTTCGCGTCTGAAGAAGAATTGTGGGGGAGGGGAAGAAGAAGTGGGAGGATTCTGCGTTCGCGTCGGTGAAGAAAATCGTGGGGGAGGGGAAGTTGTTCGCGTCTGAACGAAATCGTGGGGGAGGGGGAAAGTTCTGCGTTCTGCGTTTTGGGTTCTGCGTTCTGGGTTCTGCGTTCTGGGGGAGGGGAAGAGTTCTGGGTTCTGCGTTCTGGGGGAGGGGAAGAAAGGAGGAAGGTAAATTTAATTATTATATTATTTTAATTAATTTAAATATTTATAAATTTGAATTATTTTTTATTAATTTGTTTATTTAATTTATAGGTTTAATTATTTTAGATTTAATTATTTAGAATAATTTGTTTAATTTATTGATAAATTTAGTTTAATTGTGTTGGATTGTATTTAATTTTTATTTAATCTATATAAATTGAGTTCATTAAAATTAATATTTTAGAATAACTTATAATCTTATTATTTAAAATTAATATTATTTTAGACAAAATTTGTATTAATTGTAAATTTATTGTAAAAAATTAATATTTTAACTATATTTTTTATATAAACAAATTAGTTATCTACTTAAATTTTTGTATAAGTTTGATTTATTAATAAACTAATATATAATTTGTCTATTTAATTAATGAATTACTATTTATAAATATTTTAACAATTGTATTATTCAATTACAGAGTTTGTGTAAAATGGCACCGCACAGAGATATTGGTTGGGATCATGCTACTCCTATCAGCAATGATAGAAAACAAGCAAAATGCAATTATTGTGGTAAAATTGTTCACGGTGGAATTACTAGGATGAAACAACATATAGCACATGTTACAGGTCAAGTTGAAGCATGCACGAGAGCTCCAAAAGAAATAAGAGAGTTATTAAAAAAACACTTGATCCAAGGAAAAAGTATGTGAGCAGCACATAAAAAAAAGTTAGAAGCATTGCAAAATTCCATTCGTTTGGAAGATGATTCTGATGAGGAAGAAGATGAAGTTTTTGAAATAAATGAAGATGAGATAGATGCTCTTGAAAGAAAACACTTAAAAAGAGCAATGACTGAAAGCAGAAATATGGAATTTATGGAGCAGCAGCGTAGACATTTTGTTTCCGGAGATCTACCAAGCTTGAATTTTAAAGCCGGTATATTTATTAAATTTATAAAATATATTTAAATATTAGTATATTTTTTTTGAGATAACAACCATATATGATCATATGCTTTTTTTTTTTTTTTTTTTATCTTTGTAGGAGGAAGCAGCTCGAATACAAAAGGAAGTAAAAGAAATTTTTTCGAAAGCTCTATGAAAAAGACAGAAGGTTTGCATCAAAAAAAACTTGATCCATACATGTTTCAATCGAAGAATAAGTCTTTGAAAAATATGTTTTCAAAAGATAATGCAAAAAAAGTGGGTAGAGCAATTTCGAAAATTTTTCATTTTAATGCAATACCATTTCACGCTGCCGATAGTGGTCCTTACTACCAAACGATGATTGACACGATTGCATCGGTTGGACCTGGAGTTAAAGGACCTACTGGTAAACAAATTGGTGGTGAATATTTAAACGAGGAGATGCAAGAAGTTGTACAGTATGTTGATTCTTTAAAGCAGAAATGGAAAACATACGGATGTACAATTATGTGTGATGGTTGGAGTACTCGTACAAAACATCCAATCATAAATTTTATGGTGTACTGTGATAGAGATATGATATATCACAGTTCGGTTGATTGTACAAATAAGGCGAAGACTGCGGACTTTGTCTACACCCTAATGGATAAGGTGGTGGAATCAGTAGGGGTTGACAATATTGTACAAATTGTAACTGATAGTGAAGCTAGTATGAAGGCGGCTGGGAAAAAACTGATGAGGAAAAGGAAGCACATTTTTTGGTCTCCATGCGCAGCGCATTGCATTGATTTGATGTTAGAAGACATCGGAGATATATTGTCAGTGAAAGATACGATAAAAGAAGCCAGAAGAATTACAGGATTTATATACAACAGTGATAAAGTGGTTAATTTGATGAAAACATATACGAATGGCCGAGATCTGTTGCGACCAGGCATAACAAGATTTGCAACCGAGTTTGTTGCAATGGAAAGTCTTATGAGATATGCAACCGATTTGAAAAGAATGTGTACTTCTAGAGAATGGGTTGAGTACAATAATACCTCGAGGAGAAGACATGAAGCCGGAGATATATCAGACTTGATTTTGAATGAAAGATTTTGGAAACGGATACGCCGAGTCTGTGGGGTCATGGAACCCTTAGTGAAGGTTTTAAAAGTAGTTGATCAAGATAAAAAACCTACACTACCTATCATTTATGAGGCAATGGATAGGGCAAAAATGGCAATAAAAACCGCGGTGAAAGATTTTCAACAATATTGGGATATCATCGATGAAAGATGGTATAATCAATTGCATCAAGATTTGCATGCAGCAGGTAACTATTCTTGTTATTTTTTTGTTTTTATATTGTGCTAATCGTTTGTTTTATTTTTTAATTTTATATACATTTCATGCAGCTTATTTTTTAAATCCTGGTCTTCAATACTCCGGCACTTGTGAATTTGATTCATCGGAGGTTCGAAAAGGAGTAAAAGAAGTTATCAAAAGACTCGAGCCAGATTTGGATATACAAGTAAAGGCTATGAATGAGGTAAATTATGTGAAATTTATAAATAATATATAAATATATATATATTAATTTCTAATAATTTTACTATTATATTGTCTATAGATAAACATATTTGTTAACAAAATTGGAGAGTTTGGAAGTGCACTTGCTATTAGAACTGTATCTACATCTTTACCAGGTATGTATTATGAAATTTATCATTTAATTATATTTTTAAATATACTTGTTATAAAATGTTGCATTATTAATAATTTTTTATTTATTTTTAATAGCTGACTGGTGGAATATGTACGGTGATGAAGCTCCTAATTTAAGAAAAATTGCATTAAAAGTTTTGAGTCAAACTTGCACATCATCGGGTTGTGAGCGGAATTGGAGTACGTGGGCTTTGATCCATACTAAACTTCGGAATAGATTAGCTATTGAGAAACTGCATAAGCTAGTCTATGTCCACTACAACATGCGTCTTCGGGTAAAAAATTTTATGCAAAGGACAGACACAGACGATTTTTATGACCCAATTGATTTGAATCATATTTTTGATGAAAATGATATTTTAGATGAATGGGTTAGAGAAAATGAATCTCCACTTATTCGTGATAGTGATTTGAATTGGTTGGATGAGGCTATTGAAGAAAGTGGAGATCGAGGTCAAAGTGAGCATAATGATCATGACAGTGATATGCTTTTATCTCAATTTATAGCTGATGGAAAAAAGAAGGCGAAAGAGAAAAAATCAGAAAACAAAAATACGGCCAAGAAAAAAAAAGCAATCATATTGGAATCTTCATCTTCATCGACTAATGGTGAAGATAAGAATAATAACAATGATGATGATGATGATGATGATGATGATGATGGTGGTGGTGGTGGTGGTGGTGGTGGTGGTAGTGGGAGCTACAGGGATAGCCGATACTCAAGTGATATGGGATGGGCTCAAGGAAATGAAAATTATTATGCTACCCAAGACACTGATCATGGATATCGTCCTGGTATAGAAGCTCAAAGAGATTTTCTAAATAGTTTAACAGAATTTTCAAGTGAAGCCGATGCTTCAAATTTTTCAGATACTAGGAGATATTCTGGAGTTCACGAACATATGCAAGACTTGAATATAGGTTATTCCTATGGAGATTCTTCTCATAGCTCGAGTAATAGATTGGGGAGACAGGAGTGGGACCAACCAAATGCATATCATAATCCCTATTACTCAGGATACGGTTTATCTAATCTACCCAGACATCTTCAGGATTCAGCCAATCTTCCTATATTTGGATCCAACCAACCAGTTGGAACATATTACGGAGGGATTACATCTGGTTCGGGTAGTATTGATGATCGTAGACAAAATTATGGTTCATCAAGCAGAAGCAATGATAATAGAGAATATCGAGGTTTTGATGTATATGGAAGGGGTTCATTCAGAGAAAATCAATATGGTTCGAACATCTCTCCTTATCCAAGCAATATGAATCCAGAACAAGGATATTCGTAATATAATCGATCAGCAGATGAAAATGATTTTGAACCTCCACGACATTCCACATGGTATTGAATGGTAAGTATAAATATTTAGTATAAACGTAGTTTGAACATTTTATAAAATTTTATTTGTATTTTTTTTCTAATTATTTTTATTTATATAATGCAGATGATAAAGATGAAATCTTGACATTGACGGACACAAGGTACATCATTTTGTTATTAAAATAAATTTATTAGTATAATGACAATATGCAAAACATAAAATTTAGCATTTACATTTATATATATATATCCGCTAATTTAGTTGAAATATTATTCATTTTAAATTTTGATCTATTATAAATTATAATATATTTTTTCAATAATATATATTTTTAAATTAATTATATTTATAATTTGATGTATTTTAATTAATTATTTATTATTTTTTTGAAAAAATATAAATTTTATATAAAAAAATCATATAGGCCGATATTTGACCGATACGCCGCGACCGATACGCCGCGACGTATCTGGAACGGTAAAGGCCGATCCGCGACGCCGATCCGCGACGGCGAACCATGTTTTCGACAGCTGATTTCTTTAGAACAGGTTGTCGCAGAAACTCAGATTGATTGGCTAGTACTTGAGCATGCCTTGCCACCTTTTTAAAAGCTTTACATTGTCTTCCTTTAGTACTGGTGAGCAGTATGATTTTATAGACACTATGGAATGTTTTTGTTAGGGCCTTCGATACATTGTTGGCACAATTGTATTTCGTAATTGCGATTTTTTGTCTCCTTTGAAAAAATGGCTTTGGGACTGCAATGACTGTGAATTCTTCTCTGTAAGTGCTGTTTTGACATGCTCTATTTCATTAAAAAGTGTTCATTTCGTTAGAGTTAGAGAATTTGGGATTCGTAACTATACATGACATTTGATGATTGGACTAATAATAGTAATAGTCCAGAGCAATGACAATTTAAATTTTTTCCATGCATTTGTTTCTATATTTCAAACTTAGTCTTGTTTTGATCAATTCAATTCACTAATTCTTTGTATATGAATTGATGATATTCTTTTTTGATGATGTTGATGATATTTTATTTTATTTTTTTGATAGTATGATTACTAGTTAGCATTTATACCATGGCTGCAAGTATCTTATGCGTATGCAAACATATGACTTTCTGTATATGTAATCACCGTATTTTCTTGAAGGAAATATGATATTCTTGTTTTATTCATGAAATGACAATTATGCATTATCATTATTTATTTGTTGTTGTAAGAAATAAGTTTTATATGTAATGATTTATTTGTTAATACTTTTATTTTCTTTTTCCAGTCTGGTATTGATATTATCGAGAACAATGTTGTGGTGATTGGTAAAAGTAATATTGTTGGATTGTTTGCCGCCTTACATCTCCAGGTATTGATATATATATTATATATAATTATAATTTATCTTAGTCTAATAAGTTTAGATTAGTGTGTAAAAATACTATATTCATGTACTCTAATTGTGCAATTAGTTATATAATTACATATTTTTTTCCTAATTTACTGAACATCATCAATTTATTCATTTATGGGCAGAAGCACCATGCTACAGTGACTATTCTTCATCCATTTACCAAAAATTAAGAACAAATTTTCCGTGAAGCTGGTATTTTAATTGCAGCTGCAGAAGTGCCCAATTTGATCTGTGGTAATTGATTAAAGTTAGGGGCGATTACAATAAACTTTTTAAATGTGTAATTTATTTATTTTGATAGGATGCCCGTTAATCCTTTCTTGTAATTATTTTTTGTGTGCTAAATATAATTTAATATTGTCGAAGTCTATCGAGCTCACTCTAAGTCCTTGAGTACATTAACACGAGCTGTCATTTAAAGTATATAGGTACACAATTACTGATCTAGGCATAAGGTTATATTCTTTATTTACACAAAAGCGGAGCTTGGGTACATAATTTGATAAGAATTGGTATCTCAAAATAAATAAAGGGTACATCAGAACCGGGCTAGAGTACTTGCTTGCGCAACCGAGTTTTTATTTCTTAAAATACTCATGATTGATTGATATTTAAGTTTGTGAGTGTGCGACAATTTTGGATTATTATGTTATGAATCAAAATATTTTAAAAAATATGATTATGTCCTATTACACAAAAAACATTTGAAGTCCTAATAATGGATTACAACTCCTGCTTTCACTTGAATGTTGTTGTGTGTGTTACGATATGGATTACTACGTAATAGGTCTAAAGATTTTCAGTTTGTGACAATCATGTATTCAAACAACCAATATGATTTAAGTAAGTCATTTATGACTTGTTTAGTCATCTACAAGTGGAGATTGGACTATAATTGTACATATATCATACAATATAATTACATCATTTCTGATATGTTTAGCTATCTATAATAAATATATGTTGTTTACCTTTTTATACAATTCAAGGTGTCGTGGGAATACTATCACGATGAATTCATATCTGGTTACCGACAACAAGTGTATATTTCAAACCGAAAATGGTTCGTTTCCCAAGCACATGTTACAAGGGTATATATACTCGTTACTGAAGGATATGATATCAGTATTGTAGGTGGGTAAGATCTGTGTCGGGGTATGTCGGTATTTGATGCAGGTATATAAGTATGTGCTTTGGGTATACACACCAACATGCAAGGTATGCAAAATGGTTGCTTAGGTATTATCTGTGCAGTAGCAGGTATCCGCGAATGTGGTTGATTTCAGTTGATCCTCTGACGGAGGGGCCAATTCACGAACTCGGTGAGAGTACTTTCTCTCCTAGCCCTGATGAAAAAGTTTGGGCATTGTACATTTACATTCAACAGCTCATGCCACATTCTTTAATGACAAGACAATAAAGTATGTATGAGTAACAACCAACATAATTTAACTAAATCTTTTTCAATTTGTTTAGCCATTCATAGTAGATATGTGTTGTTTACTTTATATACAATTATGGATTTGCGGGAATACTATAATAATGAATTCATCTCTAATTACCGACAATAACTGAATGTTTTGAACCGAGAACGGTTGGTTTCCCAATCACAGATCAAGGCATAGATGCTAGTTATGGGAACATATATCATTATATTAGATGTCCATAAAAACTACGCCGGGGTACGTCGATATTTAATGCAGATATGTAACAATGTTCCCCAGGTACGAGCATTGACAATTAAGGTATGATTGGTGATTCCTTAGGTATTATTTGTGTAGTAATATGTGTCCTTGAATGTGGTTGACTTCAGTCAATCCCCTGCCGGAGAATGCACTTAAGGAACTCGATGAGAGCACTTCCTCTATTAGCCCCGGTGGAAAGGTTTGAGCATGATACATTTATATTCAACAGCTCATGCCATATTTTCAATAGAAAGACCACAAAATATGTAACGTTATCCATATTTTTCTTATGTGTTATATGTATCACCTCTCTTGTCTTTTATACTCATAAAGTTGTTAAAGCAAATGAATATTAATTCCAGCATATTATACAAATGATGGATATGTAAAAAATATTCAACTATTCGATTTAATATTCTATTCATTTCAAATCTTAAAATGATATTCGTATTCGATTCAAAATAATTGTCAAAGTATTCGATTTGATTAGAATATTCAATTCGATTTCGATATTATTCAATATGTAATTTATTTTTGTCTTATCTGATTAATATTAAGATAACTTGATAAAAAAATAAAAATATTTAATATTACTTATTATTTTAAATTGACACAAAAACACTTTCTTATTTTAACATAAATAAAAATATCATATATTTATTTATATAAAATTTTAAAAGTATTGTATTTAATAAATTTAGTTTTATTTACTTTTAGAAATTCATATATATATATGTATACTATATTCTATACTATGTATATATTTTTTATTACAGAATTGAATATTTACGAATATGAAATTGAATATTAAAATCTTATATTTGTATATGATTCATATTTGAATCGAATCGAAAATCTTTATCTGAATTCGAACCATAAAATTTTTATTTCTCAAAGTATATGATACTCAAAATGATTGATTTCTCAAGTAAAGGTTCCTCAGGTATAAGTACATGTACACGGAGCATTTGATATTATATTATAGGTACATAATTAGCAAACTATGACATAAGTGTAATGTATGTAGGTATCTAAATATATGTGCCTGATATATACACTGATGATAGAGGTATTATATTTATATGTAAGGTATATAATAGTTATCCTCGTCCTTCACCTCCTCGTTGTTGTCCTCTTCGGCACTACCCTACTTGTTTTGTCCTGGTTGCTAGATGTAGATGGAGTTTTCGGCTGCAATAACATAACCATTAAAGATAAATGTTGGGGACTCCCGTTTGCGGATATATAAATGAATGACTGCATTTCCCTGACAGTTCGAGCTTTTAGGTGAGACAGTCATTCTGCATCGACATGGTATCTGTTAGAATATGAAACTGAATTCTCTATTTCAATTATAAGAATATGTACATATTTATAGTGATATGCATATCGTCTAATAAGAGAAGAATCCTATGAATCTCTTAAATAAGATAATTACTATAACTATAATATATTGTTTCTAAATATATTTTAACGGTATCATAGCCTGGCTAGGTTACTAATGTCAAAAATATAAAAAATAACGGAATGGATTGGAGATTTTACTATTTTATATTATTATTTGATAGATATTAAATTGTATTTGTTTAATATTTTTTTAAACTTTTATTTTTTTTCCTATCACCTTATTGAAATAAATAGTTAGTAATTTTATATTTTTATTTGAGTTTGTTATATATGATTACAAATGTATATCTATATCCCTAAGTTTTACTATTATTTCAGTAAATTATCTTAATTTAATTTATTTGTAATTATAATTTGTTCAATTGGTATATCATTTTAAATAATAGGCGGCAAAAAAGACAGGCGGATTATTTCTTACACATGGATGGAAGTTCAAGAAGGTATGGGCAGGTTTGGGGTTAT